GCTCGTAAAAAGGGATGGAGGCACCCTAAAAGCAGTGGATTGTCTGGTTGGCCTTGCTCATGGGATTTAACCCTTCCCTGAACAGCCTCTGACAAAAGGAAAGGGCTTGTAACGGCACCACTCTGCTCAGCACCGCCACAGACCGTTTCCACTGCAGTTAGCGGCTTGGTTATGAAGCGCTTACCAAGATGGTGTCAGGAGATTTTCAGAGAGTTCCAGTTTTGGGCTAATAGTCACTTGAATCAAAAACATTCTGTTATTTAAGAAGCTGTTTTAAAGATTGGGGTGATTTATGACCTGATCAGATAAGTTAGGGAATGAGGAGAGTGTGGGTATGGTGATGGTCAGCCAGGGACGGTGGGGCACCCGTGGGGACATCAGACACGTCGGTGACCCAGAGAGGCTTCCCCAAAGATGACTTACAGGGAGGGGACCTGGGATAAGAGTAAAGGGGAAGAAAAAATTTAACACCTAAAACATTCAGGAAGAAGCCCTGGAAAACTGTCGTTATTGAAACAGGGTGGACTAGAAAAAACATTTCTGAAATAATGTTCATTAAATCATTTATGTTTGTTTGCCTGTGTTAACCACCTTCAGCCACCGGCCAGAGGGATCCACCTGCAAATAATTTCCATTATTACAAGCCTGTTGGGCTTGCTTGAAGCAGGTGCTCCTGGGTAACTCACACACGTGCTTTGCTTTTGCACAGCCTGTTCTAATCTGCTCTGCACCCCTCGGGAGGTGGATGTCGGTGCCAGAGCAGGGAGCAGGGGAGAGCATCTCCCCGCAAGAGAGAAAGCCGAAAATGTGCAATGAGCTGGGGAGTGAAAGATGCAACGGGACACTGAGTGCGGTCGTTCTGCGGGCACCACAGCACCAAGCAACAGATTTGCTGCTTCAGTCAGAATGATAAGATTTTGAAAAATAAAGTATCCGACAGGAAAGATGAGATGGGGAGAAATCATACATTATTGTAATTACAGTCTGGGTTCAGGGGCCCTGGAATTTGGTCGTTTAGATCCAGATCCAAATGCTGTGCCTTGGACTGATGGTCTGCAAAGCAATTTTGCCATCCTGCTAATGTCCTTGTGGAGAGATGAAAAAGACACAAACACTTCAGAATGACAACTACGCTCTTAATTACACAGTGACAGGCATCAAGAGAGAGTATAAAATAATAACTGGGTATGTCTTAATTTTGGAAAAAATTCTGATCTAGATTAAATCGATACTTTTTTCCTATTCCCTGCACATCAGCAGCACACGTGTCACGTTAGTCTCTACTTTTCTCATTTGGAGATAGAACAATCTTTCAATTAAAAAGATTGCTATAAAATTGCGTCTCTAATTAGGATGTAATTGGAGGAGGGACACAAACTGTAACTTCACTCTGCTGGTTTGGGCAGCAGAGAAGCTGCTGATCTCTCAGCTACGCTCAAACAGGTTTGTCACCAGGAGGACATGTGGAGGTGAAGGTCACGTTGCTCATCCCCTTCCCCTCACCTGTGTAACCTGTTAAAGCTGGTGCAGACCATCCCCTCAACACCCCCACCCCGAGGGCTAAGGGAATTGGCATCCCCTAACCAGAGCCACACAACTGTGTCCTGGAGAAATGTAGGCACACGGGAAAAAATTAAAAAATACATCATTAATTGGGGGAAAAGGAAGGCTTCAAGGTGATATTTGCAGAGGAGAACAAAGAGAGGACAGCAGCCTTCTTCACTGCTTCTCCCAGGGCTCCTAATCATACCATGCTGGGATGTGCTGGTGGAGGTAGCTGCTGGTTAATCAAATCCAGCTTCCCTGCTCATATTTCTGCTGAAATTTGCTTTCTGGACACAGACCATTTACTCCAGCTGCAAATCCATCCTTTTAAGAAGGAAAACCCAAACTGAAAGGCAGCTTACCGTAATGGAGTGCAGTCTGGCCCTCCCCATCCTGAAAAAGAACGAGAGACTTCATTTTAGAGGTATAGGTAACGTTGTGGGGATACAAGTAAATCCCATTTTTAAACAAATAAATCACATCAATATTTTAATTGACTAGATAAACAGACCAGGACACCCAGCTACCTGGCAGCCAGGCTTGGAATCATCATCCGCCATCAATCCGTATTGATGGATAATCAATACCTATCCACCCATAAGCCTGCATGGATCACGTCATGACATGAATATAACTCAGTTCAGAGCGTTATCACTTCCAGCCCATAAAAATGAAGGATTTCAATCATACGGCCTTACTTTGGGACCCTCACTAATCCTGATGCTCCAGCACACCTCTGAAAATGCCCACTGAGAGCTTCTGGGCAAGCACAGCCTCGTCCAGCTACTCCAGAGAAGGGTAAGGCACCAGGATAAGGGCACAGCTCAGTGCCCTACAGTACGCTGGGGGAAAAAAACCCCACTTTTCCTCCAACTGAATACATCTTAGATCATCGCTCTTCAGAATTCAGGTCTGGCCAAAGGTGGACCCAAAGCCCAAGTAATTTCTGCTGGGCTGCTGGCATCCCTGCAGCATGAGGGCGAGGAAAGGGCTAGCAAGGGCAAAGCAAACCGCGTGATCTGAAGACGTTGGCACACAGCTCCCTCTTCAAGCTAACACGTACGCCACTGCATCAGCTGCAATGGTTTGGGAAGCATGTCCCGCTCCCAGACTGGGCACAAACAGGCAGGGCTTTGCCGGTGAGCAGTGGGTGCGAACTGGGGCACCACACAGTGCCGCAGCCTCATCCTGCCACGAGAACAGGTGAAATAACAGAAGGAAAGAATTACCGGCCCCTTTGCTTTCACTCTCCCACCAGGATTAGCCTCTAATTCAGTTCTTTGGCTCCTTAATTTATTTGCATCTGTTTATGGAGACTTAAGTTTTTAATTACCATCATCTTTAGGATTAAGGTGCAAATTCCACAGCCTGCCGTGGATTCTGGAGCAGGTGAAAGGGAAAGAACAACAGGCAAACAGGTAGAAATTTTTTTTTTTGGGGACTTGTGGTTTCCCTGCCAGTTATATATTGTTTGATACTAACCCTGTTCAGCTGAGAAACTGGGAAGAACTTGTGTTCTAAGGTGGGAGGTGCCGCGCTTTGCTCTGGGACACCGCACCAGCACGATAACCACAGGAGCACCAGGGACAAAAGAGAAAAAAGCCATTTGCTGCCTGAACATCCATTTCACACCTTCTCCGAGCAAAAGGTGGGGGGTGAGATTTTTTCCTTCCACCTGCCGCTGTGCCCCACTCACGGCACTCATGCTGACATACAGAAGTGCCTCGTTTCAGGTGCCTATTTCTGCCCAGATTGCAGGGAACGGCATGCAAACGGGTGTCATTAGGAGACACCGCAAACAAAACAACTGAAAAAAATCAAGGACAGCGTCCATTGATTATTCCACATAATAAGGAAACCGATCCTAGCCACAGCCCCTGAGCAGTCCCTAAGCACATGCCTGCTTGGAGGAGTGGCAGGGCCGGCACTGACTTCAGCAAAATCCAGAGCAGGGCTGGGGAAGACGAGGTGGGAGTGCTAGGAATGAGTTATGGGGAAGGCAGGCTTTCCAATCTGCAGGCTGTGTGTGCTGGGGGATGGGAAACCAGCTCCCCTCCCCATCGCCACCTTCAAAATTGCACTGACAAAACCCGCAGGTGAGTGGGGTTGGAGACGTGCAGCAGAAATCCCTTTCCATGGGAATGCTCTGCTGCAAAACTCCTTAAAAAATCCACTGGACTGCTCCAGGAATACTACAGCCTGTGTAAAAGCCTGTGTAAAGCACCGGTGCTTCAGCGGCAGGCTGGGGGCTATCCAAGTTTTTTATTTCTTGTAGATGTAATTTTGGCATTTATTGGGCTACGAAGGGAGAGCAAGTCCTGCCATACAAAGTGTGTCTCTTTAATCCCAGTGTGGTTTTTAAAAAGAACTATTAATCCAATGTTATGCAAACATTGTTTACACTTTATTTACACTGTGGATTTTTTTTTTTTCCTCTTTGAGTCTGATGGCTGGTCAAATGCTATTTGTTACACTTCTCAGATGCTACGCTATTTGCTTGTATTTTCTCTGTGACAAATTTTAATCCAGGTAAATGGAAAAAAGCTCTAGTGTGGTCATTCACTAAGGGCCTCGAAATGCCCTCCAGAGGCTGCTCATCTCAATCCCTCTTTGATCTGGCTTTTTGGAGCACCGTGGCTAATCGCAGCCCGACGTGCCCGGCTGCTCTGTGCACAGCACTCGGCTCCAGGTCCAGCAACTCTGAGCCTTCAGCGCAAAATGGTCACACCTGGAAAGTAATCAAGGATGGGCCGTGACAGTGAGGATTACAGTTCCCTCTGTGGAAATTATGTGAGATGAATATCACCCACCAGGCGCTGGAAATGTTTGTTTTACCAACAGAAGTGGTCTTAAGACGAATTGTAGCTGGCCTGAACGCAAGGGATATTTCCCGACGTGTGATAGAAAGCTGTGGTTTCTGGAGCATCCTAGGGAAGGTGCGGTGTGTCCTTCTCCCAGGACATGCCTCTGTTGGGATGAATGACCCCGAACTGCGAGAGGACAGGGACAGCCTGCCACAGCCTCTGCCCTCACCAGTAAATGTCACCAGCCCAGCCTGGCACCGCTGGCACCAGATTGCCATGTCGCAGCCAGGAGAGCATCCTCCGCAGCCGGGAGGAGCGCAGAGATCCTGGCGGTGATCAGATGGACCGATTTGCTCATCTGGCTTGCGAGTGGGGGCAGCTCATTTGTCTCCATCGAAACCCGTCAAGATTTTTGTTGGTTTATTTATACAAAGCACTGAGTTGGAGGGGGATGTTTGTCATGATTGTTTACTTCTTCTCTCTCCAATTTAGCTTTCAGATTACAGAAATGTAAATCATCCAGAGCAAGACCCAGAGTCTATCGATACACACTAAAACCAACCATTTAATAAATCTGTAATGTAAAAACCTGAATATACAGTTATTTCCAAACTGTGCTGATTGAAAATTAGGAAATCACAGTGCGCTATCATTTCTGTGCTAAGACATGTTAAAAGAAATTAGAGACACTTTTTTTTCCCCAATAGGAGCTTCTGTAGCGCGGAGGAGCAGAAAGAGAAGGTGCTGAGCAGGGGAGCTGGTGTCAGGGAGCGCAAGAGAAGAGATGGGCAGCTCCGGGGCCAACACCGAGCTCTGCTCTGTGCCAGGACATCTCTCAGAAATTCCCTTTCAACATCATGCCAAATGTCCACATTTACCAAAACCATCAAAACAAAGATGCTACAAATTCACCAGTACCTCCTACGTCCATGGTCTGCGACAGATGTCACTCAATGAAAATCCAACCACCAGTAGGTAACTTATTGGATAACAGGATTGTGTCCTGCTCCTGAGAAATTTAAGGAAGAGAAATGAAAGAAGATGGACCGAGCGCAGATGGACCAACTGTCTTATCCGTTAAGTGGTACTATGGCTACTGCACGTCAATTTTGTCTTATAAGTGATAGGATTATATCGGTGTTGCCATCCCATGTTCATTCCTTGGGAATTTCCGTCCCCTGCTTACCCTAACACAAGGTTTCTGGACTGAGGGGCAGTGACAAGGAAATGGCTTGGCTGAGCCCACGCTATAAAACACGATTACCACTGCCCTGCCACGGCAAGCAGACCGTTGACGTGCCAGCGTGTGACGATGCTGGTTTCAGGGGACAGTTTTTAAAACAGTGTTATATCAACGTGGATCTTCCAGACCTGCTTCACTTGCTCTCCAAGCTGCATACAGAAACCTCTGCCTGCAGGAGGATGGCCCTAAGGGAGACACTGTCTCTTCCTCCATCTCATGTTTTATTTATCACAAAACAAAAAAACACCCAAAACAAAACCATGCTGGTTACCAGGGCAAACTTTGGTCCAGCTAAACTCCGTATCCGTGCCTTCAATCACATCTCCAAGTGCAGACACCGTGAGCATGAAAAGCACAGCAGAAAACGTGCACGCTAACCTCTTCCTTTTGAGGGATAGCACATGCACTCTTTATTTTAAGGCATTCTTTCCCCCGCATCACCTCTTCTTTCTGTTCATTTGTGGCACCTTTTAAGGTACACACGCTTGTTCCCATTGACAGACTCCAAATGTTGGCAGGGATCGCAGGAGATAAGAGCGATGAGGTGATAAGAGTGTTTAACAGCACTGGGTCCTGGGCAGCGTGGATGGGCCGGAGAGAAGATAAATATTTACACTACATCTTTAGAAGATGAGTGAATAAAAAGGGCTGGAATAATACAGCTTCTCAACAAGCACCAGTGCTTAGGAGCTGGGAATATAAATCTCTGAAGCCTCATGACACACACTCACTCAAGCCAGGGAGATGAAAAATAGCAAGAAAATACTTCCCTCCACTTTTAAAAAGGGTTTTATTTCTCATTTATTTCCACTTTAGACTTCAACTTCCCAACAATTTACTTTAACCTTATCATCTTCTTTTTCTTTCTCTGAAATTGTCTCCCCACGATGACTGAGGGCGAGACTACAGCTAAAGGCATACCAGAATTTACATGCTAACACCCACCAAGACGTAAAACCAGGCGATGTGGGCTAATATAACCAGCCCAAACTCCACCAGACAACCCAGAGGATGGCCCCAGGACAGCCTTTATTTTCATTTACGTGCTGCTTTTGCACACAGCATCCCCGATCTGGACATGTGCAATAATACATGTCAAACGAGTGCTTGTCCAATCGAAGCAGGTAGGCGAGCGGATCTGTGTGTGCAAATGCTGGCATAGAAAAGCAATGGTTTCGTTTGGAATTTTATCCTGTTCTTTCAAAATCCCTACCTCAGACCAGTGCGCACCCACATGCACCTAGACTTTTGCTTTTAACTGTCTCCTGAGCCTTAAAGCAATACCAGAGGCAGCACAATTCAAGAAACAAGACCATCTAACAGCTTTGTGCCAGAACATCTAGAAT